GCTATACATTTATGAGAGGTTTGATGGAGAAGTATATTGAGAATAAGGAGGATATATATATATATGATATTTATTGATTTAGAGAAAGCATATGATAAAGTTCCAAGAGAAGTGCTATGGAGAGTTCTAGAAAAGAAAAGGATTACTAATGCTTCAAGTCATCAAGGATATGTATGCATAAGTTGTTACTTGTGTTCAAACAAAAGATGGTTTGACCAAGTATTTTCCTACTTCTGTCGGATTACATCAAGGATCAGTCTTAAGCCCATATCTTTTTGCTTTAATCATGAATGTTCTCACAAGACAGTTGCAAGAGGTTATACTATGGTGTATGCTTTTTGCTGATGATAGTTTTCTTGTTGATAAGACTAGAGAGGGCGTTGAAGGTAAACTTGAATTATGGAGGTCATCCTTAAGAGTCTAAAAGCTTTTGTTTGAGTAGATCTAAAACTGAATATATGGAATGTAATTTTAGTAATAATAAATATAGTGGAGAGTTGACTTTAGGCGATTAAGTTATTAATAAGAGTACACATTTTAGATATCTTAGGTCTATTGTTCATAGTGACGGTGAAATAGATGGGGATATTATTAGTAGAATTCAAGTTGGGTGGTTAAAGTAAAGGAATGCATCGGGCTTGCTATGTGATAGAAAAGTCCCCCTCAAACTTAAGGGAAAATTCTATAAGATGGTGGTGAGACCTGCAATGCCTTATGGTGCAGAATGTTGGCCATTAAAAGAGAAGCATGATATTAAGTTAAGCGTTGCAGAGATGAGGATGCTCAGGTGGATGAGTGGATTTACTATTAAAGACATGATGTGAAATGAGCATATACGTGAAAAGGTTGGAGTAGCTCCAGCGGAAGACTAGATTTAAAGAGACTCGCCTTAGATGGTTTGGTCACATAAAACGGCGGCCTTCCGATGACCAGGTTAGGAAAGTAGAAGTATTAGATTTGGCTTATGTTAAGAAAGGTAAAGGTAGACCTAAAAAGACTTGGTTAGAAAATATTAGAAATGACCTTTCTTTATTAGATTTAAATGAGAATTTGACACTTAACATGATAAAATGGAGAAAAAGGATTCATGTAGCCAACCCCACATAGTGGGATAAAGGCTTAATGTTGTTGTTGTTGTTGTATCCATCTATACTTTTATTTTTTTCGTAAATAAATTATTCTTATAATTCTTTACAATTGCCCTTATTGTGGTCAGATCATTTTTTTGGTTATAAAATATTGATTGAGATAGAAAAAGCCATGAGATTGGTTAGGTGGAAATATTGTTACAAATCTTAGAAATATGGGACATATGAATGCATTTGATCAACATGTCATCAACATACATATTGATGGATTGTCCAATGATATAAGTGTGCATGGGGTTCTAAGCAAAGATATATCAATGAAATCAAAGGAAGTCCATGTAGATTTGTCATTTCCCAAAAGTAAAGAGTTACCAAAGTTGATTAATCATTTCAGGTTCTCATAAGAACGAGGGACTGAGGTCCTCAACAAGAGCAGCCCGCTAAGTAACTTCATCACAATGGTCATAGTTATCAACATTAAAAGTTATTAATGGTCATGATTATAAATGGTGGAGATAGCATGATTAGGAATTTTTTTTATTCCCTCTAACTATTGGAATTCCAATTTTAGTGAGAAATTTGACTTTAGATGGGGTGCAAATGCAATTGCCACGTAGATGTATGGTAAAGGATCTCTAAAATATAGCATTGTATGCATATTTGGATTCAACCACCGTGAATTACATTGGGTGAGTTATCCTTCAAGGAAAGTGTGACCAAAAGAGTGATGGTACCTTCAACCCTTATAGGATGATTGTTAAAACCATAAAGGGGCATAATTGTAGGTTGTAGTTATTAGAAAGATTGATGTTAAGGAAGATAGAGTAAAAGATGACACCAATGAAGGTTCTAGTGTTGATCAAAATCATCTTGAGAATGAAACAAGGTTCTCTAACTCCAGCATTTACTGCTAGTGGATCTCGACGTGGAGTTTATACCCTCTCAAGTTTCAATTCAATTAAATTGATACTATAATCAATGTGCAGGATTTTTGGAGTTGGCTCGTCGGGAATAGAGAGGATGACTTATTTTGACAAAATAGCACCTTTAATAAGTTTCAATCTCGCCCCCATTCACTCATTACCTTATGATAATTGTGGTGGCATTACCCCCCAATGTATTATCCTTCAACAAGGTGTTTTGGTTATTAAAGGAATCAACCAAGGTAGCCCTAAAAAATGAGTAATTGGTTGAAAAGTTTTTTGGTCTGTCCACACCTAGTGTGGTAGTTGCTATATTGATCAATATTGTCGATGCTCAACCTGAGATGGTAAGGACATTGAACATGTTCATCATTTTAAATGGCCAACACAACATTAGAACAAGATGTGCTCAATGATGTATGTCCCACTCAAGGAAAGGATTTTTTCATAGTGGAAGCTACAAAGAGGAGAACCATTTGTCAAGTGCCCATTCTTCTAATGTTTAAAATGTTGATATATCCTCTCTTGGAGGTTTGGATAGAAATTTGGCAATCTGAAATAAGTTCATCAACAGCTATTTGGGTATCAATATGTAGGCAGGTTTCGAATAAGTGTGAGTCATGGCTCACATCAAAGCCAAGGAAAAGGGTGATGATTAAAGCCCTACTCATAAGAGTTTTGGGTCAACACATAGAATCTATTAAGCTTTAATTGAAAATCTTATGAAATAGTTTTTTGGAGACTTTCCTTTATGGCAAATACCATATAAAGGAGATAATCATTAGCAATTCTTTTAAGAATAATGGAATGGCAGACCAAGAGCCAATCCAAATCTACAAACATGTTGATTGCCTTATAGGCAACATAGCAAAATCATATATGATTTTGTCCCTTTAGTGTGGCACAAAATATCTGCCAAAGTGTGTGGCTCAATGTGAATGCAAAATGGTTGGATTATGGTTCACACACTCGTAGGGATATATGGATCGATCATAGGTGTCCAAATGAGGCATCTTGAACTCTGTAAAGATTTAGTGAACCATACGAAAATGGAGAATTATGAAGCTTTGTGGAGACCCCACTGGGGAGGAACCTGATTTATGCCCACCAGGATCACTCTTCTCATGCAAGGCGTCACAGCTCATCCCAAAGAAATCACATGGAATGCCCTCATTACAAAGTGGGGATGCTTTATGCTTCTCCAATGAAAGTTGATGAGTTATGAATCATCTGGTTAATTGGAGGTGAATACATTGAGTCTAGGTGGTCATTGCCCCATAATTATAATAAGGTGGTTGCATCTTAATATATGGCAATAAGATACTGTGATATTGGTATTCTCTGGATGCACCCCTCAACATGCCATGGGTTGATGGGGAGATGGTTCACAGGAGTGGGAGTGTTAACTTGTAGTAATCTTGTCAAGTGAGATTCCCCAAGTAGGCATAGGATCTCAATTTCCACCTCCTCAAGCTCCTGCATGTGATCTTTAAAAGAAGATGCGGAAGTACCTTCTTGTATGATGTTTCTCATCTAGATCAACGGTAGAAATGTGGATAGAGTCATGGAATACAAAAAGCCAAATAAAAATGATAGCCTTGCTCGACCCTGAAAAGCACTTAGATGCTGAAACCAATAATCAAAATTGAAAATGGAAAAAAAAAAGACCTAATTGAGTCTTCGCAAAGAAATATCAAATAACCAAAATGGATTCAAGTTACTTTTCCTTTCCAAGAATAACACTATTAAATGAGGTGAGGGTCAAGGGTAGTTTGATATTTTTGTTGGAATTAATAGTTTATGGATAAGACATTTTATTTCAGTATTTGTTTTGGAAAAAAATCTCCCTGATTGAGGGATTCTTTTCTTCCTTCAATTGATCTGAGGATTAAATAGCAAGAAACCTCTTATTTAAGATTCATGCCAGGTTGTTCCACCCTTGAGCTTAATGGATGATGTATGAGACCTTTAAGCTTTTAAATCAATATTGCTAGTAATTAAAATCATGGCATAAGATAGCTTGAGATTGGTGTTGGGTGTGATGTAATCTAGATCATCATATCTAAATTGGGGCTTTGAAATTGGTGCTCAATTTTATGGATTTGATAGAATAACCTTCATGCATCTTGAGGTGATCTAATGGCCAAGATTTGAAAGCATTGTGATTTCATCTTAACTTCTTGGAGATTATAAAAGCACAAGTCATGGTGGCATTGTCTAGACTGATTAATTGGTTATTTTATTTTTATAGGGTCGTATCACCAAATTTAAGTAAAGATGTATTTATACTTATTGATCTTCTACCATTCATCAAATATTTTGAGTGCATATGATTTAAAATAGCTAAAGAAAAATACCTAAAAGTTATCTTTTAGTTACCTGAAATCTTATATAAATATACATAAATAAAGAGGCCATAAACATATTCCACACATATTATTAATTGAAAGTAGGGAAAATGCATTTAAAAATAAATAGGCATAATATCAATTACAGATTGAATTAAACGCAAAAAATTAGCAAATATTTAAATTTAAAAAGATCACAAGCTGAACTCAAAGTTATGATATCTAATTATAAGAACCAAGGAGCATGTTGCATGAGCTAGAGCTCATTGATGTGTATGTGTATAGATAGTTTTTCAAGCATATATTCTAAAGGAGAATTATTACAAAAATATAAAAAGCTATGGTTTAGTATATCCTTGTATTCCCATAAAAGATCAAGCTAAGGCAAAAGTAATAACAAAAATGACGGATTAAATGATTTTTCATTACAGAAAATTTTCATAGCGCATGTAATGCATCATCCAAAGCAGATTAGCCACATCAAAATGACAACTAAGAAACTTTGATCAATAACATATGGCAGGAGTTCTGCAATAGTAAATTCATAAAGCAGCGGTGAGGAAAGGATTGAGAAATTAACAAAAAAATTTGAAGTTAAACATGCAAATTTAAGAGCAAAAAAAAAAAAAATATTTGCGTACTCCAATGGTTCCACCGTATTCATTTAGCACTACAGCCATGTGAACTTTTCTTATCCGGAACTCTCTCAAAAGATTCCATACTGACATCGAATCTGCAGTGCGTTTGAATATAAAAATAAGTTCCAATCGTCAATATGGAATATAATCACCAAAATTGAACATTTTAAATTCAGAGTAAGTGATCAAGATACAAGGGCCAATAACACTGCCAATACTGCAGCTCCTAATTCAGTGGATGTCATCGGGTCCAAATAAAGGCCTGTTGTTCACTTTTATTTTTATTATTTAATACATAAGTAAAGTTTAACTTCAATTACCAGGTACGAAGTAGGTCGGCATGTGTGCAATCTCTCTGACAGTAGATTCTTTCAGTTTCTCAACCTACAAAAGAAAACAAAAGGACACTATCAAATAAAGAACGCCAAGTGCAATAGACAAAACAGCAAATTATATTTAATTAAGAGCAAAATTTACATTGACTCTGCAAGCTCACAAAAATGAACTTTGTAACTTAACTAACCTTCTCAACATATTCAATCATATCCATAGCATATGCAATTCCAACTATATTATCGATACGCTCCTCAAAAACAGGCACCCTGAGAAAAAGTATCCGCTCGCATAAAAAAAAATGATGAGAATAATATGTGGAATGCAGTAGTACCTTTAAGCTTACCTGGAGTATTGATGGCTCTCCCATAGGTTTTTAAAATCAAGTAGAGTAGCACTAACATCTATTGCAACCACATCCACAAGGGGAGTCATCACTTCCCGGACATACGTCTCTTTTATCTCCAGCACATTTTCAATCATGTCCTATAAAAGATTGAAAACAAGGAGCATAAATAAAATTTTAAAGATATAAATGATTAATAGAATCAAATCTAAAAACCATGATATTTCTGAAAGAAGCTCATAGGAGCAAAAAAAAAATTCTAATTTCCTTCCGCCGTCAATCTATAAATTTTATTATATCTAATACTTGTGAAATAAGAAATACTTATTTCAGATCACACGACATTTTACAATGTTTCAAATTTAATTCTTAGAACATAAAGGAGAGAGGTACCAGGAAATAGGAAGAAGAATATGGATAGCTCTCAAATTTAATTCATAAGAAGAGGGTTTTAACACTGGTTTACATCCTTGTTTATAGAAATTAGGAGTGTAAATTTAGGTTGATAGGTTGAGTTTGGGAATGACCCAAAGCTGGCCTGATCCAAATCTGCTTAACTTGAACCCAAACCATTTATTATATGGGGCAAAACATTTGATTCAAATCCAATGCAACTCAAACTCGGCAAACTAGAACCCGGTCCATCTAACACATTTATTATATGCATCAAGCAAATTTTGAATCAACATGAACCAAATATGACCAGTTTAACCCAATTAATAAACCCCAGGTCCCCAACTCACATAACCCAAACCCAAATAGTAATTAGATCAATTTCAACTTAATTTCGAATAATTCAGGTTGACTCAAATGCGACTCGAATAATAATCAGGCCTACAATTTAGACATAAACTTGATCCAAGTAGTAATCAAGTCAATCCGAATTTTTCGAGTTGAGTTCAAATTGAGTTGTGAGACTAGGTCATTTATTAACATCCCAAATAAAAATAGAGTTATGTAGCTAATTCAAATTAATTTAAATTTAAAACTAGATAAATCTTAATAAAAAGAAACCATATCATCCTATTAAAATAAAAGAGAATCTAAAAAAAAAATCAATTGATTGTTTATGACAACAGCCAATACATTAAAAGTTTAATAAAATAGTAGAAATAATTAAAAACTACGTAGAATAAGCAAAATGACATCTTGATGAAGTCTTGTACAGCTTCACACATGCCCAGCCTAACTGACTAATTTATCAACAGTTTTAGAAGCATTTGATTGGATGGTATGAAGTTTGGACACAGTAAAAAAGATGGCCCATGAATAGTTTCAATGTGATATAAACAGGAAGATGGTGATGCTATGGATAAATACCAAGCTCATGATTATGAACGATCATCACCTGTTCCTCCTCTTCTATGGCACCACTCAATTCTGCCCCCCTCAACATCAGCTTCAATTCATCCTCAGTGACATATGGTTCACTAAATAATGGTAAGGAATGTCAAAGGCCAGCAATAAAATTCACAAGGACGACAATGTTCAGGGGGAAAAACAAATAAATAAGAATGAAATCTTGCAAACTAAAAGCCAAAAGTAACTATTTATTAATTTTTTAGTCAAGAAACAAATGCAGCATTAGTTCAAATTGCTTTAAATCAAGGATAGTATCAAATATAGCTTTTCTTCCAAAAAGGAAATATCGCTTCAGAAAAAAATCTGTACAGGTGTGTTTGGACATGATTACCAATATACAGAGCATCAAACTCTGGTTTTGTACATCAGCATTAGCATTCCTAGTCCTACACAGTCCAAATGGTTTACTAAACTGAATCTTCTAAACAGTCAAGAGAAAAGCTTGACAACAAAGAACATAAGAGTTTATCTTCTAGGAGATGGTAAACACCTAATCCTGATTCTACAAGGTCTAGATATCTTCTTGGTAATTTACATCTTCATTCTCAACGCATTATCAACATTGATCACAAAGTAGAGTGTCGCCTTGCTTCAATAAAATGTATTTCATAGGTACTAAGAGCTTCTGTAAAGAAGATACTTGCCAAGTAAACGAGCATCTGAATCAGAATCAGGATGATTATAGTTTCAAAGCAAGATCTTTATGCTAACTGCGTTTTCTTCTACTATTTCATGAACCTATAGTACGTAGAACAAATAATAGTTCTAAAAGAACAAAGTGAAATTAAAGTTGTCATTGAAACTATAGAAAGCATGAACCTGCAAGTGCTTTTTAGTTGCACCTAATTTCTTATCCATCCAAAAAACATATAGATATAATTATTTTACAAGAAGATAAATCTAACACCTATAGCAAAAGCATGAGCTTGGGTATCTTTATGCAGTCTCTGGTTTGAGTACCCTACAACATCAAGGAAGTGAATTCATGCCTATTTACACAATGCAGTTAAGCATTTGCGCAATTTACGTGATTACTGACCAATATAATATAAAATGCCAATTTCTATAAAGGAACAAAAACTATATATAAAAATCATATACAGCATAAATAAAGCATGTAGTGCTATGTACAGTACCTACCTTCTGCCTTTCAATCCTAGCATCTTGAGCATTCCCATGGATAGGAAAGTAACAACTCTTCCAACAGGATACAGGACCAAAGAAAGCCATGCAACAGGCCTGACCTAGTTACATCACATGAAATGTGACAAGTGAAACAATTTCAATGCATTCTTTTGAGTAGAAAATTATACAAGTTACAACAAAGAAATGGAAAGATATCTCAAGCAAAACTCTACTATTCCTCAGAATCAAAGAGCAATTTCCACACCTGACAACAAACCTAGCAACCTCAGTAGCATTGTGTACAGCTATACTTTTTGGGGTAATTTCTGTAAGTAGCAAGATAGCAACCTGAAATTGATATAGTAATAGCATGTCACTAAATAATTCAGAAAGCTAACCGGACAGACAGATTTACAAATATTTAAACTTAAAAGAAAAAAGCAGGAGGCAATTTAGTTTCATAATGCTAGTCTAGTTTGTGGAGAAAGTGTGAGATGAGTGTGAAATCAAGTAAGTGTGTTAGAATGGATTATCATTGAAAAATGCAGAAAGAGTGATCTGATATGGAGCGAATTTAACTTTACAGTAATGCTTAATAAGTGAAAGAAACAAAATAGTAAAACCAGTAAACAATTTTCCTCACTCTACCACAACAATCAATTATCCGCACTGTTGAAAAGGACCAAAAGGTAACTGGTAGGCAAGTTATATTTTGCTTCGATGTCTATCAAGCTCGTAACCTCCTTAGATGGGGTTATGTGCCTTAGCATGGACTATCAAAGAGATGTAGAAAGAGTAATCGGTCATTCAAAAATTTTAACTTCAGAGTAAGAGAGCTCAAGTGAAGAAACGCCAAGTATGAGGGAGAAACAAAATATTAAAACTGGTAGATAAGTTTATGCTTCTGCAGCACAACAGCCAATTATCCTCGCTACTCAAAAGTTGAAGGTAGACATATTAAACAAGCTTTTCAAATCAATCAAGCATCAACAAGATTGATTATGAAAAAAATCATCCATCTCCTTTATTTGGAAACTAAATAAAATGAAATCATTTTTTAGGTGATTGACAAAGTAGCACTCTGAATACTTAATTAGTTATCTATTTATCTTACCCTCGTCAAGCTACGTAGTGTCTAACACTACATCATTAAAAAAAATTTATAAAATGCACATCTCGTTATCAAGTCTCAGATATTTCGCTATCATTGCCAAATGATTGTTGACGTGCAGTTGAGAAGATGGAAAATATCGAACCCTATATATTTGATCAGTTTGTCAAATCAAACTGGTCGATGGACATCTGTGGTGCCACACAACTCAGGTTTTGGCAGCTACCAACCAGCAAGAAAGGAATCCTTAGCTCAAGCTTCGAAAGCTACCTGAACCCAATTTCTTAAGCTTTTTGGCTCTGCAGGATAAGTAGTCTCAATAAAACTCATTCTTGCAGGATAAGTTTTGTGTGTAATCTTACTTGAACCTTAAATCAAATTTAACCATAAAGGCATGAATAATTACAAGTGTTTACATGATCATGAAGCCGTAGGATTTCATTAACTGTTTGGCACACAAATTAAAAAGTGATTTGCCCGTAATTCTAAAATCAAACAGCAACAAAATGCATTACCAGATGAAAAAAACATCATGCTTTTAAAATTTGCTTGTATCTTATTAAACTTTTGCATTATTTATACAGCACAATATAGAATATGTACCAACTAATGATCTTCCAATCAAGTACAAAACTATTTCACCGTATGTTAGGTCAAATATAACATGCTAGGACAAAGAGAAGTGTTTACTCATATATGTCATATATATGGCTTTTATAGGTACCTAACAAGTTAGGATAGCAGAACTGAAACCTAATAGGTTCTGATGACAAGAGCTCGACCGAAACGGTCACCTCGCCCACCATAGGCACTTGCTAGTTAGGGAATGTGACTAACCAAGGTCAGACAAGTCAAAAAGTGGTCCCAGCGGCAACTGCAAGAAACTTGCACAAATCCATTCAGACTGTCAAAATCCCATCTCACTTTAGCAGGGGACAACTCCTCAAGGCTACTCACACTGGCCCAAATCAAAAAGTCACCATTAGCACTTGAACATAGCTACAAGAGGAGCATCTCAAGAAGTCAAAGGTCAAATCTTTTTGGACTTGAACAGATCTCAACTAGCGATTATCATAACCCAAAGGAACTCGCCCTTTACGTATAATGGCTTGAGAATTGTGCAATATAGACTCACCAACACACCTAGAGGACTTGGCTTGTCAACTCACTAGCTCGCTCAATGCTAATGATGTGCTTTTTTTTATGTAGCTTTCCATGTAGCCTCATATCCTTATAGATAAAAGGTTAAAAGCACATTTTGGAGCTTTTTAAGGCATTACTTATCTATTTGCATATTTTTCTATAATTTTCTAAGTCTTTTCCTAGATACCCTGAAGTTTTTTCCTTTATTTCTCATACTCGTACTAAGTTCTCAGATTCTTTTCTCTTCAGATTGCTTGCTAATAAGGTCAAATGATATCCAAAGACACATTTGGATCCAATAACAAAAATAACAAGTCTTGATCCCACTATGTAGGGTTCGCTACATGAATCCCTTTTTTTATGTTATATCCTATTAAGAGTTAAATTCTTATTTAAATCTAGTTAAAAAAAATATCATTTTAAATATTTTCTAACCAAGCCTTTTTAAGTCAACCTCCACCTTTCTTAACATAGGTCAGATTTAATACATCTACTCTTTTAGCATGGTCATCAAAAGGCCAACGTTTTATATTACCAAAGCATCTAAGACGACTCTCTCTAATATTATCTACCATTGGAACTACTCTCACATTTTGATCCAACAACTAGATAAATTAGATCACTAAATTATAACTAGCCTTGTGCAGTAAAATAGCAATAAAAAGCCTGGCACCATGGCCATTGACCAGACCCATAAATCGAACATGAAGCTTTTGAAATTATTCAGTAAACAAGGCTCTTTTCTAAAGAAAATATTAGATAGAAACCAATTTACCGATTTAACTATTCCTACACAATTGATACATGGCAGCAACCAAGCAAAGCATCACTAGAGTAGGTTCGTATTTACTAACCATGCTTGAAATAAGAAATATAACAGAAACACGTACTGAAAAGTAAAAAGAAAAAAAAAACATAAGGCGAATTTTGAAAAAGTGCTATGCCATCAGGGTATGTGCCTTAGAATGGACATTGCCTAGTAGAATTAACCTAAACTAGAATTAACAACAAATAGGGCTCATAAGAAGAACCAATGGTAAATCTGGGTTTGCAAAGCTTTTTACAAATATTTGCAATAAGGCTCAAGATAATCATTCTAAAACAAAGGCAATGAGATTCAATATTTATTATTTTGTTCCTCATTGGGTTGGTTGAAATTTAAACTCCAACTTGGAAGAAACCAAATAAATGCCCTAACATTTAGGAGGACAAAATTGCTTACTTTCAAGTTGAAAATTTACCAAAACATTCCAATTTTTCCTTCGGAACTTATTCATAATATAAGTGATACTAAAGGTTTTCGCTTGAGTAGATCTAAAACGGAATATATGGAGTGTAATTTTAGCAGTAATAGTCCTAGTGAGGGGATTGTGACTTTGGGCGATCAAGTCATTAATAAGAGTATACGTTTTAGATATCTTGGATCTATTTTTCAGAGTGATGGTGAAATAGATGGGGATATTATCAGCAGAATTCAAGTTGGATGGTTGAAGTGGAGGAATGCATCGGGCTTGTTATGTGATAGAAATGTAGCCCTCAAACTTAAGGGAAAATTCTATAAGATGATAGTGAGGCATGCAATGCTTTATGGTGCCGAATGTTGGCCATTAAAAGAGAAGCATAATACTAAGTTAAGTGTGGCAGAGATGAGGATGCTCAGGTGGATGAGTGGCTTTACCCTTAGAGATAGGATACGAAATGAGCATATACGTGAAAAGGTTGGAGTAGCTCCAGTAGAAGATAAGATTAGAGAGAGTCGCCTTAGATGGTTTGGTCACATTAAAAGGCGGCCTTCCGATGACCCGGTTAGGAGAGTAGAGGTATTAGATTTGACTTGTGTTAAGAAAGGTAGGGGTAGACCTAAAAAGACTTGGTTAGAAAATATTAGGAATTACCTTTCTTTATTAGATTTAAACGAGAACTTGACTTTTAATAGGACACAATGGAGAAAAATGATTCATGTAGCCGACCCCACGTAGTGGGATAAAGGCTTGATGTTGTACATTATAGAATAGGTACCAACTAATGATCTTCCAATCAAGTACAAAACTATTTCACCGTATGTTAGGTCAAATATAACATGCTAGGACAAAGACTAGTGTATAATCATATATGTCCATATATGGCTTTTATAGGTACCTAACAAGTTAGAATAGGAGAACTCAAACCTAATAGATTCTGATGACAAGAGCTCGACCGAAATGTTCACCTCACCCTCCATAGGCACTTGCTAGTTAGGGAATGTGACTCGCCAAGGTTAGACAAGTCAAAAAGTGGTCCCCAGCAGCAACTGCAAGAAACTTGTACAAATCCATTCAGTCAAAATCCCATCTCACTTTAGCAGGGGACAACTCCTCAAGGCTACTCACCCTGACCCAAATCAACTAGTCACCATTAGCGCTTGAACATAGCTACAAGAGGAGCATCTCAAGAAGTCAAAGGTCAAATCCTTTTGGACTTGACCATATCTCAACTAGCGATTATCATAACCTAAAGGAACTCGCCCTTCACGTCTAATGGCTTGAGAATTGTGCAATATAGACTCACCAACACACCAAGAGGACTCGGCTTGTCAACTCACCAGCTCACTCAGAAGCCTTGCACAGAAAACAAGCATTGAGAGGAAGGATTAAGCCAAAGATAAAGAGCCACATGGGCACCTGACAAAACAAGACACATCTCATGTACAATCCAGAACGGGCAATAGTTAATGATGTGCTTTTTTTATGTAGCTTTCCATGTAGCCTCATATCCTTATAGATAAAAGGTTAAAAGCACATTTTGGAGCTTTTTAAGGAATTACTTATCTATTTGCATATTTTTCTAAAAATTTCTAAGCATTTTCCAAGATACTCTGAAGTTTTTCCTTTCTTTCTCATACTCGTACTGAGTTCTCATATTCTTTTCTCTTCATATTTCTTGCAAGTAAGGTCAGATGATATCCACATACACATTTGGATCCAACAACAACAATAACAAACCTTTATCCTACTATGTATGGTTCGCTGCATGAATTCAAATGATGTGCTTTTTTTATGTAGCTTTCCCCACGTAGTGGGATTAGGGCTTGATGTTGTTGTTGTATATCATATTAAGACTTAAATTCTTATTTAAATCTAGTTAAAAGAAAATATTATTTTTAATATTTTCTAACCAAGCCTTTTTAGGTCAACCTCTATCTTTCATAGCATAGGTCAGATGTAATACATCTACTCTCCTAACATGGTCATCAAAAGGCTGACGTTTTATATTACCAAAGCATCTAAGATGACTCTCTCTAATATTATCTGCCATTGGTGCGACTCTCACATTTTGATCCAACAACTAGATAAATTAGATCACTAAATAATAAGTTTATAACTAGCCTAGTGCAGTAAAATAGCAATAAAAAGCTTGGCACCATGGCCATTGACCAGACCCATAAATCAAACAGGAAGCTTTTGAAATTATTCAGTAAACCAGGCTCTTTTCTAAAGAAAATATTAGATAGAAACCAATTTACCGATTTAACTATTCCTACACAATCAATTGATGCATGGCAGCAACCAAGTAAAGCATCACTAACGTACGTACGTATTTACTAACCATGCTTGAAATAAGAAATATAACAGAAACACATACTGAAAAGAAAAAAAGACAAAAAAAAAAACATAAGGCGAATTTTGAAAAAGTGCTATGCCTTCAGGGTATGTGCCTTAGAATGGACATTGTCTAGTAGAATTAACGTAAACTAGAATTAACACCAAATAGGGCTCATAAGAAGAACCAATGGCAAATCTGGGTTTGCCAAGCTTTTTACAAATATTTGGAATAAGGCTCAAGATAATCATTCTAAAAGAAAGGCAATGAGATTCAATATTTATTATTTTGTTCCTCATTGGGTTGGTTGAAATTTAAACTCCAGCTTGGAAGAAACCAAATCAATGCCCTTACATTTAGGAGGACAAAATTGCTTACTTTCAAGTTGAAAAATTACCAAAACATTCCAATTTTTCCTTGGGAACTTATTCATAATATAAGTGATACAAATATTGTAATTTTTCCTTTTCTTATATCTTTCTTTCCTTTTGCTAATAAAAAATGTTCCAGTCATGCCAGCTTCCTTGAAATCCTTCTCCATATCGCATGTGAAACAAGTCACGGAGTTAACTCAAGTGATAAAGCAAAGACAATTCATTGCGCATAAGTTCCAAATTCCAATATGCTATGATAAAAATCTAAACAGCAGATATCACACTTCCAAGAAAATATGAGACATACAGTCATAACTGCTGTAGCAGCACTAACTCCAGCTTCACCAAATATGGTTGTTGCTGCTTCAGTGGCAAGGGCCGTCGCACCAATATTGACAACTCTAAGAATTTTCAAAAAGGAAAAAAAAGATTGTCAGAAAAAGTATTGACAATCAGTTTATTAAAAGAATTTAATCATGAGAAAATCATAAAACAAAATATAAACCAGTACGTGGTTCCAATAAGAATGGTAGTCAGGAATCGTGTCACATCACTACTAAGCATTCTGAAGACACCATTTTCAGGTTCTTTGTCAGCCAGCTCACGAACCTGATGAAATAGAAGGAAATGGAGATTAATAATAAATTCTTCAATCAAGAAATTTCATCAAGGACAGCATCAAAAAACAGTATCAAAATGGTAAGAAGCAATTTATTGACAAACTGAAAAAGTAACAATTACTTCAAAGATATTCAAAATAAGTAAAAAGAGATTCTTGCATCTGCATTCTAGTTTAACACAAGAAAAATAACCACTAGCAATGGGTGCAACCAAAAAGATATATTTGATATATAAACAGAAACAAAATAATTTGTCATGTCATACTAAGAACAAAAACAGATTTTTTTAAATTTGAATGTATCATGGAATAATATATCAACTAGCTGGATCAATATGCACAACGGAAATTTATGAAGGAAATTTGAAGAAATTTTAAATGGAAAGAATATTTATGAACTTGTTTTTTATAGATTTGATTAAGTTTGAATTCAGAGTTTGTGGATTGTATGAATTTATTTCTTTATTATTTGAAGATACTAAATCAGACTTTTAAAGTCCTGGTTACCATGCAAAAATTCATAGTCCTCGAAAACTATGTTCAACATTGTTTGTGCGATGAATTAAGAAAAATAGTACTTTGAGGTGTAACAAATTTGTTACCAAAATGTAGGGAAAGTTTTACAGAATTTTATGAATTTTAAAATTAATGATAGCAGTGATAACGATCTTAGATGGTTTGGACACTTAAAACGTCAACCTTCCGATGGCCCGGTTAGGAGAGTAGATGCATTGGATTGGCCAATGTTAAGAAAGGTAGAGGTAGACCTAAAGGACTTGGCTATAAAATATTAGAAATAACCTTTTTTATCTTAAATTTAAACGAGAATTTGACCCTTAACATGACACAATAGAAAAAGAATTTATGTAGCCGACCAAACATAGTGGGAAAAATACTTGTTGTAGTTCTAGTGATAAAATCTTACCCTGAATTTTATGTTTTGTTAGATTTTCATCAGGTTATCTCAAGGTAATGGGTGCAGTCATAAGTATCTGAGTGAGGGGAAAGGTTAGTTGAGATATTCCTGCAGCTGATACTCAGTATAATTTGAAATAAGAAGACGATATATCAGCTTTTGTTGCAAATAATACGCGTTGAAGGACTAGGATTGCATTAGAAATTTTAAAAAGAGCTGCTTTAGAGTTGTTTAGAAGCAATGGTAGCTGTTGAATTTTTATATTCGAGCAAATATTGATATGTAGCAAATATCTTGGCCCAAGTTGTGGGTTGAAATTTAGCATATATTACTAGTACCCAATATAAGATGCATTTATGAGGAATATTTTATATCAAAGGTTCAGTATTAAATGCGGAAAGAGCTTACAAAAATCAAACAAGGCGACAAGTTCACAACATAGTTTCTAAGAAAATGTTTACCCAACTAGCATGTTTTAAACCCAGATTAATACTATACAAGGATCATTAAATAAACATTTAAAGAAAATACATAAATAGATTGAGAGCTGATAACAGTACATGAGCTTAGCACATTTTATGAGGTTTCTTCATTGGAAATGAATCAAAGCTAAGGCACCACGTGATACAATTATTGGTTGTAGAGTTTACAAATGCAGTTCCAGGATGAGATAGTATAAAAGGTAAAGTAAATAGTTCATAAGAAAAAACACTGGAAATTGATGTAATGGTAATTTGGCCAGCCAATGGGCCTATATCCACACCCCAAATCCTCAACTAAGGAATTCCACAAATCTCTTATTCGCTAACACAATCTCGAAAAATTTCTCTTTCGTGCTAATGAAGAAACCCAAAACACTTCCACTCAAAAGCGACAAACACACTACTATTAGCAGAATCCATTAGGAAATCAACATCCACTTCAAAGCATGAGACCGGCCACTCCTAGCACAACCCATTGAATAATCAACCTTATGTAAAACCTTTTGTTGAGATCCATGACTCTCTTTACACAAGAAAAGTAAGCTCTCAATAGCTAGATAATCAATCTTGGGGATGTAAGTTTTGTAGGAGGAAGATTTGGTGAAGAAACCTCTTTTTCTCTGATTTTATCTCTCTAGATTCTCTCTCTTAAAATATTGAAACATAAGAATTCATATTCTAGCTGATAACCACATTCATAATAATACCCTAGCAATAATTATCAGCCTACATATTACATAAATCCTCAATTAATGTTGATTTGAATTTGAAATTTAAGTTACTAAATGATTGTACGACACAATCATGATTGTACAATTCGATCAATTCAAATTTTGATTGCTAAGTCAATTGAGTTTGAGGACATATTTTAATTAACTTTGAATCAGAAAACATGTTGTATACTACAATAACCCTCACACAATATGACTAGTTTGGTTTTTGAATTAGTCAATTAATATAAATTAATCCAGTTCATTTAGGTATATTATACGGTACAATGCATATCATAAAATATGATCTTAAGATTTCTTCTCATTAATTATCTAATATTTAAATAATCAAGCAATTCAAACTAGTTTGAACCATAGATCAAATTTAACCATACAGTACAATTAGTTTTGGATTTACCAATTAAGCTTGTTACTCCATGTAATCAATTTTAATTGTGAGTATGTACAAATTATATTAACATCATCAACATCTTAAATTATACTATTTTATGACTCAAAATATTAAAAAAAAATGTTTTGCGCTTGAAACTTGATCTTTTGATGGTGGATAGGTACATTCAAGCTAATTGAGTCATAGGCTTTACTAGAGTCATAAATGCACTTCAATGTATCATTAATCATGATTTGCAATTTTAAGCTTAACCTGAAATAATTTAGCTCACTCATGCACTAACCTTATATAAAATTGTTAGCACTAACCAGATAATATATGTGGTCATGAAAATCATAAGCTTAAGCTAATGGGATTCACAATATTAGGTTTCCTGTACTTAGTCTTCAAAATCCTCTCATAAAAGCCCTTAAACTTCAAAAAGCCTTACGATCAACTCTAAAACACATCCCGATAAATTAGCATACCCCTTGCAATCAAATCTAAAGCTTCAAACACACTCCATTTATCAAGCCAGATTATCAAATCCAATGATAGTGCTCGCAAGTTTGGCCCCATTTTTTAAGGATTGACTACTGACCAGTTCTTCAAGTAACCACCTCATGTAATCCACTACAAATAGTCATTACCACATCAAGGGCACGCTAGTGCAGCTATTTAGAGCCTTGGGTCATCACCATTCCAAGGCTAAATCAAATACTGTTACCACTTAATGAAGGGAGGCAAATGACGACTCAGTTACAAATTCATAAATAGCATAAATAAATTCCAGATTATTTAGCAATAGTAACAGCACAGTTTAAACAAATCCCTAGAGTTAGCATCACACTGTCAATGTCTTATGTGATTTTAACCACTCCATTGTTTGTGTTGAAATCAGGAAAAGAAAAAATATCGGTTGCAAAATGACTCCTAGATGGAGGAAAGAGAAAGATGACTGGGAGATCTATATCTAGTTGATGGCCCTCATCAGTGCACGGACAAAACCCCCACTGACCAATCACAGTTTTTCCTCATTGAGATGATGTAGGCTTACCTTCCACGGCCACAATGTGGTTATGGACGTCTCCGCCATTGAAAAGAAAGCAGACAGACCCAACAAGGCAGCCAGAATCAATCCCTGGTCCTTGAAAACCTGAAGAACCTGCAAAACCTTCGGCCATGCTCCTCTAAGCACCAATTGCACATATCCCAAAAACCCTACATCAGCACCTGCCACGCTCAAATTCGCCGCAACAGCCCTCTGAGAAGCTATCGCAAGAACACCACAGGCCGCGAGCGCGCTGAGCGCTAGAACACGGAAACTATGCAGCCAGAGTATGGCATTAACCGCTCCGGAAGCAACTGGTTCTGTCGTCTGAACCTCCTTGGTGAAAGAATTGCTCATATCACTGTAGTTCACGTATATCTTGGCGGCCAGACATGGTAAGCGGGGTACTGGAGACGCAATTTGTGCTGGAATTACACGAGGTCTTTCCCAACGGCGATCTTTGCTGAAGAAAAAAGATAAATTTGCAGTTTGTCGGTGGAATAACGCAGACTTAGCGACGAAATCCATGGATGGTAAACAAGGAGGAGGCCGAGGATAATAAATCGAGGGGGAGAGGAGAACCATCTTCTGTTTGTCAACCTTCCAGTAGTCGGGATTTCAAAGAGGCATCTAATTCGAGCAAATTGAGGAGAAGGGGATTGAGACCCTCAGGGCATAGATGCCTCTGAAGCCTAAGCTTTGAGAACGGAGACAACAAGCCTAAATAGGGCGAAATGGAAGAATTTGCAAGGAAGTACACGAACGACTATTGAGTTTTGATTAGAATGCATGAGGTAATAATTTATTAAATAAAATTTAGCTTCACATAAGTCTAAATAGAACAAATTTAATAAATATGTTTACTGTATAGCTCAAATCACTTCTATTGAAAAATTTATTCAATGAGAACATAGAACGTCGTCCGTAGATCAATCAGAATATGACACGTCACTCCTGTGCTCGGTACCGCTGCTCGATAGCGCACGGTACCGCTGACGTGGCGCATTCTGGTTGGTCTTCGAACGGTTTCAGCGTCCGGACTCCGCACAGAATAATTTCTCCTCTTATTTAGCTATAAGTTAAGTTGACCAACCAAAAGAGATTGATCTCGAGAATCAATTAGATCAGACCAAATCAATCAATAGTTTGGCCGATCATACATATAAAAAGCCTTACCACATATCTAATATGATTGAAATATACAATTAACATATCACCTTTTTACAGGATTTTATTCGGCTGTGTTGTGTCTTCAAATTTATCTGCAGCAGCAGGTCATTGATACATTGAAGCTAGGGCTGCAAGCGAACCAAAAGTTCGACGAGCTACTCGTTGTTCGGTTCGATTAAATCTCATTTGTGATCGTTCAATTAGCTAAACAAACAAATTTGAACAATATTTTAAATACTCGATTCTTAAATAAACAAACTTGAACACTAATGTGTTCGGCTCATTTATGTTCGCGAACAACATCATTTGAAGTTCGTGAACAAGCTCGACATTAAGCTCGATAAGAAGCTCAATAAAAGTTTGATTCATGTTCGATTTTGAACTCGTGAATAAGCTAGATAAAAATAATTAATATTTGACTATAAAATTAATAAATATAAATAATCATTGCCTTTGTTACATAGACAATTGCTTTTATTATAAATGTGTTTGTTCATAGATATGTTCATGGACGTATTTGTTTGATAGTTAAAAAAAATTCTTAAAATATGTTCTCGAACAAGCTTGTTAAGCACTAAACGAACGAACATGAGCTGAACATGAACCGAACATGAACACTCATTAATTTAAATGAATCAAACATGAACACAAACAATAAAGCTCAAAGAAACATGAACCAAACTTGAACAAGCTAACATTAAATGAACACAAACATGAACACTCACATACTCGACTCAGCTCGGTTCGTTTGTAGCCCTAATTGAAGCTAAAAAACTAGATGTGTTATTGGAAAGCTATATTGTCTCTGTGTATTCTTAAAAACATGAATGAAAAATAGTAGAGGTTCTAAAGAAGACCTCAAAAAATTTCTAATCACCTTTTATTTATAGGATTAAGCTGGCTACATGAAATACTAAACCGTATATGTGTGTGTATGTGTGTGATTGGTACAAGCATACTGTTTGGATGATGTATGCGTGGATTCCTGCCTCCACCATAGCCCCTCATCTAAGGTCGGTGCCAATGGAGAATCTTTAATGGTGAGTAACTTGAATAAGTATTCAAAATATAGGTTTCCAAGCAAGTCTGTGTTGGCAAGTTCTTAGGAATGAACATCAAGTCACTTGTATATTACAATATGACATGTGCACAAGTGTGTTTTCTATGATCATATGGTATCCATTTTGCAATTTTTTCCCTATTTTTATGGGCATTGCAGATATGAAAATAAAAAAGTTTTTTATTCAACTAAAACTTTTTAAGAAATTGACGCGCGTTAGCACAAGTGTGTTTTCTATGCTCATATGGTATCCATTTTGTAAAACGTTTTCATCAAATCATTCTAGACACGATGTGTCATTCTAGACATGATTTGTTGTTTTATATTTATTTTTCATAATTTATAGAGCTCTAGATTACAAGTTATAAAAGGATTTATATGAATTTTATATAAAAAACTAAATAACTTCCATAATTATCATTATATTATAATTTCATTAATTAAAAAAAAATCCTTATCAAAATCTAGTTCCATTAACTTAACTCGTGTCATGCCAATGATGCCATTTTTCTATTTACAAAATCGCAAAGGCTAGAGAGATAAAGGATGAGAAAAAAGATAAATTCTAGATAGAGAAAATTAATTTCAAGGGCTTTCAATCAATTTTTGTCTGTTGGGCTAGTTGAGAATAGTTGAATATACACAAAAATCTTATAAATTTTATTATTTCTTATAATTATAAAATATTATACATTTTTACATACTATTGTAAATTACTATAGTTTATTCTAATATTAATTCTATTGTGTTGGATTTCAACATGCCTACAGCAAGATGAGGTATTCGGAACTAATACGGCGAGGTGATGCAGTATGAGGAGGAATTATTTTTCATTAATATCCGGATGCGGTAGAAATCGAAACGATCAAGAAATACCTTATTTGGAAGCCGAGCAGACAGCGCGCCTCATGTTGAAACGCCAGGGCCTGATAGCCGCTGAAACGCCCGGGAATCTGAATGCAATACATTATTTGGAAGCCGAGAGGATCTTTACATTACACTACAGCAAGATGAGTATTCGAAAATGAAACGGCGAGGCTATGCAGTAACGGCCGGATGCGGTAGAAATTAAAAAGATGAAGAACTACCTTAATTGGAAGCTGAGCGGAGAGAGATGCGTGCGGTAGAAATTAAAAAGCTGAGCGTAGAGACGGATGCGATAGAGATAATCTAGGGTTAAAAATGAACCTGAACTGAAACGCCGGCTATACATATCTCTTAAATAAATATTTATTGCTTTAGTGTTGAAATCCATTAATTATTGATGGCATAAGATAATATTTATTGCTTTAGTGTTGAAATCCATTAATTATTTATGGCATAAGATGAAATCGGGCTGCATACTAAAACTTAAACGCCGGGATTAAATATAATTTAATTAAACTTTTATTAAATTAGGCTTGAAATCTGTTAAGTCTTTATGGCAGAAGACTCGTAGAAAAGATCAGTTAAATAAATAAATAAGTTAATTTGATAAATAATAGAATTTGAAGAGTCAAGAATGGACGTTGTAGATTAAATTAAAATTAAAAAATGAACGATCAAGATTTGCTAAAAGTGGAATCCCAAGCCACTTTTATATAGTAGTATAGATATGTTTACTGTATAGCTCAAATCACTTCTATTGAAAAAATTATTCTATGAGGACATAGAACGTCGTACGGAGATCAATCAGATATGACACGTCACTCCTGTGCTCGGTATCCCGGCTCGATACTGCTAGGTAGCGTGTCTCGGTACTGCTGACGTGACGGTGCATTCTAATTGTTCTCCGGACAGTTTCTACGATCGGTTTCCGCACATAATAAGTTATCCTCTTATTGAGCTCTAAGTTTGGACACAGTGGAGAAAAAAGATTCATGTAGCCGAACTCACATAATGGGATAAAGGCTTGATGTTGTTGTTGTTGTTGCTGTTGTATTGAGCTCTAAATTTGTTGACCAACCAAAAGAGATTGATATCGAGAATCAATTATATCAGACCAAATCAATAAATAGTTTGGTCTATCGTATATATAAAAAGCCTTACCACATATCTAATATGATTGAAATATACAATTAACATATCAAATTTTTTCATTATTTTATTAGGCTGTATTGTTGCATTCAAATTTATATGTAGCGGTTCATTGCTACATTGGAGCTAAAAAATTAGATGTGTGTTATTGGAAAGCTATATTATCTATGTGTATTCTTGAAAGCGTGAATGAAATATAATAGAGGATCTATAGAATATCTTAAAAAAAGTTTCTAATCACCTTTTATTTGTAGTATTAGGATGGCTATATAAAATACTACACCATATATATATATGTTTGTGTGTGTGTGTGTGTGACTGGCACAAACTAACAATGATATGTGGATTGTTTGGGTGATGTATACATGGATCCATGCCTCCACCATAGCCCCTCATTTAAGGTTGGTGCCAAGGGAGAATCTTTAAGGGTTAGTAACTTGGATAAGCATTCAAAATATGGGTTTCAAAGCAAGACTGTGTTGGCAAGTTCTTAGGAATGAACATCAAGTTCCTGGGTGTGACCGTGCGAGGGACGAGTCCCCTGGGTGATGATAGTTGCAGATAAAAAATGAGTCCAACCATCAAAATTGTAAGCATGAGTTTCAGAGATGTGTACTCTTTATAGTTTGATCGGGATGTTTGGAATGTGGGAATGGACTTAGTCTTGGGGCAGCCATTGTGGGTGAGCTAGTACATAGTTTAGGCAAGTGATCTTAGGGCAGGGATGTGTATAATATAAGTAAAGGTACAATTCTATCTTGTAAAATATTCATAATACCATATAAATGTTAGTTTGCTTTGATTTTTTTAACATAAATGCATATTTGATGAATAATTATGCTATAAGATAGCTCTTAAAGCCTATTTTCAATTGTTTTAATGTTCATATAATAATACAAAAATGTTTTCTAATGATAGTAGTACAATTACTTTGAAATTTTAAAAGAACAAATTTGACCAATAGTATTCAAATATTTTCTTAAACTTGATATGAGATCGATTTATAAACCATATTACCTCGTCATAGAGAATATTGTACTCTATCTATAATATTTTTTCTTTATTTTTTATGGGAATTATAGATATGAAAACAAAAGGTAGCTTATTCAAGTAGAATTTTTTAAGAAATTAACACGTGTTAGTACAAGTGCATTTTCTAGGATCATCTGGTATTCATTTTGTAAAACGTTTTGTTTAGTTTGCGGCCGGGCGTGCGCTCTTACGGCCGGGCCAGGCAGAGCGACTGGCTGCCGGCTTTGTTGTATAAATTTTTTTTATTATTCCTGCAGAGAAGTCCGCCGGATAATATTCCAGCGAAGAAATTCCGTCGGAAAAATTTTCTAACGTATTTTTTGCGCTAGAATTATTTTTCCGACACTCGTTTTTCCAGTGAATAT